TCTCAATTTCTACAAAAGGCGGTAGCGAGGAGCGCCTTGAGGTGTGCGCCTCAGATTTAGAGGCCTGAGCCTCATATTTTTAGCCTAAAAAATACCACCTCGAGGCATACTACGTGCCCCTCACAGTGAGGCGCACCTCACTACTGCCTTTTTAAACCATGCAGTCAAGAAAATCGAGTTCACTGTCATCCTATCCAGCTTATCCCATCTCTTTGCTTGACCAGTTCGACCATTGCACCAAGACATGCATCTGCCATGTGTTCTCATCTCCACTAGACCACAATTGTCGAGGCAAGAATTAAATTCCACCATTGCTGACAAAGATCTTGGGTGACCTCCAATTCTTTCCCCATCCTCACGAATAATGTTAAAATCTCCTGCCTCTATCCATGGAAAGTCATCAGTTTGAAAATCCTCCAGGTTTTCCCAAAGTTCTCGTCATTCACTTTGACTACACTTTGCATATACAAAAGAAATAAGAAATTTCTTTCGTTCATCACAAAATCATCCTGTCACCGTTTGATCAGTCGACATGCCAACAACTTCAAACTCATAATTATTATTCCAAAAAACCCAGATTTTACCACCCATAGCCTCATTTGAACAGAAGTTGTCGAAGCCATGGAAATCTGCTACATTTTTTGCATCCGACATTCATCCACAAAAGGTTCCGAAATCGCAAGAAAATGAACATTATGCTTACAAACCAAACTCTTCAACCTCCTCCTAGATGTGCGTATACCTTGCACATTCTAAACTAAGATTGTGTCTATCATAAATTCAGTTTTTAGGGACGACTACTCACACATTTATGTCAGAACAGCAGCCTCTATCCTTTCTCAAACTCCTCAATGGATTTTCCTCCTCTCCATTCGAAAGTGTCTCATATAAAGAAGGGGCTTCTATATCCTCTGGATTTTTAGTCTGCGGTTGGGTTCTGTTTTCTAACTCCAGCACCTCTGCCACCACTGCAGCATGATTATTACTATGTGGTTCTGATTCCTTAGTTCCATCACCACGTCCTCAGCAACAACCTCTGCAACATCCTCAACTTCCTTAGCCAAATGTGAGGATTTCATAGTAGCTCCTGAATCAGCCATTAAACCTCTAGCATTCTCCATTTCACTGTCCTTTTCATTAAAATTTTCTCTTTCAAAATTGTTCTGTACTTCAACTTCTTCCTGCATATTACCTTCCTTATGTTGCTTTATCAGATAATCAGCCTCATGTCCTATTTCCCCTTCCTCTCTCACATCATTATCAACTCTATCTGGATAAGTGTCTCCCTCAATTTAACTGCCTCAAGTTGTTTTGGTTCTGTCTTTGCCAATAGCCAACGTCCCTACATTAATCCCAGAAATTTCCATCAACTCGTTTGTTTGCTTAGTGTTGACTCCCGCATCCTGTTCTTTGCTCTGTTTTATAAGCCAGATCTCCCTTATTCTTTGTTTCCCACATTCACAAGCTCCCTCTTGTGTATTTCTCCAGCACGACAAACTATAGCCGTATGCCCCTGTCAAGAACATTTGGAGCAATAGAATCCTTGTCTTTCATATCTAGCCTCCTGCCATAACTTTTTTGAGGCCATAACAATTGGAAATCCTTGTATTGGTTTGTCCTTAAGGTCCACCTCTACACAAATTCATGCACCAGTCGCCCTAGTTCCGTTTAATGTTGTGTTATCCGTGCCTAGATATCTACTGAACCTCGTGGCAAGGATCTGTAGGAAATCAACGTGATACAGATGCAGAGGGAGTCCTGGAAGAAAGATCCATTGAGATGCAAGCGAAGGCTCCTTCTCGAGATTAAATTCTTTGGTCCATCTGAATAAACGGAACGCATAGCCCGCCAATGACCTACCTTCTCTCGCCCAACTATGCATAAAATCCTTCTCATTTTTCATTGGAATCAGAACATGGAACCATCCTTAAAACTCGCTGTAGGTATCTCAGATAAACCCCATGTTTTGATGATAGTCATACGGATGACATCAATGGAGGGTCGTGCCCAGAGAAACTTTAAAACCAAAGCAAACCAGAAGTCATCAGCCGCCTTCGACATCTTCTGCTCTGAAAAAATGAAGCCTTTCTATCCGTCAATGTCCGTGGGATAGCGTAGTGGTAATTTGAAAGATGTTGAAACAGTCTGTTTTTGGATTGCTTGTGCGTACAAGATAGGGCCTGGATCCCCCTTGCAACAGGACCCACTGGTGCGGCCACCACATGAGGGGCAGCGGCCACCGCCATGTTGGCGGATCCCTAATCGCAGAACCCTAGACAACTTCAAATCTTGAATTCTTTACC